CTGTCACAGCCTGATCTAAGTATCCAACTTCCTAATTAGGTTTTGGATAACTTCCAAGTTCAGTGCTTGATGTCCAATTATATCTGCAGTAAAATGGCACTTAGAAGTAACTAGTGCTTCCAGATAGGAACTTCTGATGATCTGCTAGAAAAACTCAGAATCAAGATATTATAAAATACTTAAACATCAATACAACAGAGGAAGCCAATGAACATATTGATACAGTGCCTTCCCTGATGTTCTATCCTCAAATTATTATAAGTGTTTGGGTTTTTTTTTTTACCCTTGACAGAACTTTACAGTTGCCATATTGTCCTATCTTTACCTGTGCAAGGCATCCAGAAGTTTGAGTCACAACATGGGCAGGTACTTCTCAAGCAACCTGTTATTTTTCAAAAGTCTGTATGTATGGATGAAATTCCAATACATAACATGGCTGTCAACCAAGACTAGTTCTTTGCATTTCATTGGAGCAAGTTTAGATTTATACCCTGACAACTAGGATTACATTTTGGTTCATCAGATGGAATTAGGTTTTCCAGAGTGGTCTGTACCCGAACCTAGACACCAAATTTGTGTCCCTGCAGAGGCTCCTGGTGTTTGGCCGTGTCTTTCCTCTGTCATTCTCTAAAAGAGAGATACACTGCTTTGAGGCTTGGCACATTGATGATGGCACCTAGAATCTTCCTCCTGGTTCCTCTCTGGGGAAGAGAGATGAAGTCAAACATCAGCATCATGAGTGGTGACTCCAGCTCCTTCATGTCTGGATTTTGAATGTTTGGGGTCAACTTTAACCTAGATAGCTGATAGACACCTTAAAATACAGACTGAACCAAATCAAGTATTTGCAAGTCTGGGAGGGATTGCAGAGTCTGAGGTTTTTCTTGTTGCAGTTAGTGGCAAAACTATCTTGATTTCTGCTGGCTGTAGAGTTAGGTGAGTACTAAGCTCTGCTGTCAGAGGCACACACTAGATTTCTCTTGTAGAGAGCATACTCAACATGTTTCATAAATAATCTTTACTTTCAGTAAATGAGCTTTAGAGATAAGAATCCAACTAGATTAGAGGTCATACCTTTCTCAATTGACAAACGTACTGAGCACTGAATTTTGCTGGACCAGTGTTAGTCTGAAAGGACTAACAAGAAGTATGTCCTTAGCAGGCGTAGGACAGCTCTACAGTGGCTGCCTTGTACTGTGTGAAGGATCTGGTTCTGCACATGAAAGTGTCATGGTGTGCAGTTTACATGTATTCTGCCACTACATGTGCCCCAGAGGACTTGGATGATAGTGTAATATGGGGAGCAAAGAGATGTTTTGAATTACTGGGAGGGAACACACAGCAGTTCTTGTAGGTGATTGAATTGTTCCTCTGCTGGGGAAGTGAGACTTTTTGCAACAGTACCTGAAACTGAAAAATCAGATTAAGGCCTTGACAGGATTGTCCACATGCCAAACTGTTGTCCTTTTCCATCTGGCTTACTTCAAGTGTGTGGGGTCTCACAGTCACATCCTATTATTTGTCAGCCATGAATCATCATTTCTTTTAACTGGTTAAATTGAGGAGAAAGGTGCAAGGAGAATGACCCTCATGAATCAGGGCAGATGGGTTGAATTAGTGGGTCACACTTTTTTATCCCTAGCCAGTGGAACTGGCTTGACAGCCAACAGTAGTCTTATGGATCTTCTTTTGTTCCTGAAGGGAGACATCTTCTTCCCTTTACAAATTTTAAAGTCTTTATTGCTGTGTATCATACATGCACTGCATAAGAAAGTTTAATACCCACCATGTTGCCTGCAATGTAGCAACTAAAGGATCGTGGGACTTCATGTCACATGTGGCATACTCCATCTGTTACACAAAGCTCCCTCTCTTGCATGAGTGGTGAGGAGAAGCTGGGCATACAGCAGAACTTTGAGAAGAGCATGACAAGAGCAGTTTACTCCTGTCTGAGATATTCTTTTCCTACCAGGCTAGTAGTGGAAGTAGAGATCTATATGGATTTAC